GATAGATAATTGCTGATGATTGTTGACGATGATGATTGCTAAAGATTATTGCTCTGTTATGGTTAAGGGAAGATTGTTGGGTCAAAATGTTGTATTCAAGTCCTAAGCTTAAACTTGTTTTAATTGCATTGTAGTGGTAGGTTTATTTCCTTGTAATAGGTTGCTATAAGTAGGATGTTAGTTGTTAGCTGGTAGTTAGAGTGGTTGACAGATTCATACACAATCATACGTAAACAGTTTGTGAGAGAGAGAATCTGTGATTGTATCAAAAACACCTGTATTCACATTGACATCAATATACATGTCGACAGATTGAAATCTTCTTATGTGTTCTTGATTAATTGTTTGAATTGACTGATAAAGACTTGAATCTGGGATCACAAAAGTAAAACCCACAAAAATGAGATGACATCCTAAGGAATGAATACTTTTTATTTCTTGAATGTGGTTTAGTTTAGTGTATCTCATATTGATAGAGTGATGAAAAATTGACATTGAATGGTTGGTATATGAAGGGAGGTTGAGATGCATTTGTGGCAACTCGTTATGTTAGCTCCTCCTGGTTGATTCTCTAAACTCACAATGTTGTCTCGTTTTGGACGACCCTTCAAGCTCATGGTTTGGTTCATTTTGGCCAACTTTTTTTAGCAAAAATAAAAATGAGTATTACTTTGGAAATAATTTAACAACCTTTATCCTACTTTGATGGGAAATTTTTAGTTTGAAGAACATATGTGAATATATGAATGGATTGAGTATTACTTTGGAAATGTAAAGCTTATATAAAGTCACACTATAAATTTTAAATAATTAAAAATTATCAATTGTGTTGTGATTTTTGTTATCAATATTGATGAGAAGATGATAGATTGCAGAATAGATATGGGTTTATGAAAGGAGGAGAGATTCCTTTGAAAATTAAATGGGTTATGTGGCTCAACATACTATTCCGCGGACCTTTCTGTTACAAAACAAAATTAATTAATCGATATATGTAGTGATATTGTGAGATTTGAAAATGTAAACTTTTTGGATTATGGTGTGATTTTTGTTATCTTACAATAAGAAGATGATAGAATTGACAGTAAATATGAGTATATTGAAAGAGTATGCATTTCTCTTAAAATTTAGTTGGCTAAAATATAACTTTTGTCCAACCCTCCTTTTGCAAAAAGAACACACACACACACACACACATATATAGAGAGAGGTGGGTTCAAATGGAAATCGCTTTTCAGTTATGAACTGGGTGATAAAGGAGAGCGCGACACATGTCTCTGTTGTCCACATTCAATATGAATAACGAAAGGGCATTCAATATGAATAACGAAGATGAAGTTCATGAACTATTCATGATAAATAATACACGATCATGACTCATGTTAAATTGATTCACTATTCATAATGAATAATACATATTCATCATGAATGATACATTATTCATGATGAATTACCCGTGAAGGTAAATCGGTTATATATACGTGGTATTCATCATATATATGCAAATTATTCAATTAAATACAAAAAATAACATAATGTTGACAAATATTAATAGTGAAAACACAATTTATAAGGTACTTTTAAGAGGAAAAAAAATCCATCTATCAAAAAATCTATATATATATATATATATACATGTATATATATAAAATGAAGGTGTTGGTTTCGGTGAGAATAAAAGTTATGGTAAGAAGGTAAGAAGGGATCTCCATTCTTGGATCAATCATAATTGAATATCAACACTGATGAGACGCATCGAATCAATTTCCATGAGAAACCCAATTCACAGGGTGGGGTGAGATTAAAAGTGATCAAGCGTACAGATCCCTTCTTACGCTTCTCACTTAACTCTTATTATCACACGATCCTTCGTCTAAAATGACGATAGTAAGTATAAAGTAATATTATGAAATTTGAGTATTAAAAAAAAATATTGAATTGTGGTGTTGTTTAAGTTATTCATATTGACAGAAGAAATGATAGATTGAATATCTTTATATATAAAAGAAAAATGGTAAATGTATGAAATGTGTTATGATATTTGAATTATGTTATTGTTGCTATTGTTTATATTATCTGGCATTGACAGAGAGATAAGAGACTGGAGAATGATTACACATATATGAAAGGAGGAGGTACAACTTTGAACATTAAACTGGTTAGTTGATTAAAGTATGCATTCGATTTATATCTTGCACAAAAACCGATATAAAAATAAAATTTTATTTAATATTTATATGTAAAAAGGAAGATAATAGTTTGAATGATATAATAAGATTTGAATATTTAATTTTTTTAAATTATGTATTACTTTAATGATCTAATTTTGATGTGGAAATGATTATCCATTTATTTAAAATTTTCAAAAATATTAAATAAAAAATGCCACATTGTTGTTGACATAAATCTGTATCACCATAATCAAATAGTTTCTATTTCTGATAGCTATATGTTCTTGGTTAGAAATTAAAGTTAAGAAGCCCTTTATCTTTATCATTTTGTCAATAAATGTGTTTTCTTAACCTATGTTCTATTTTGTAGAGTCCAGCCCCCCAAAAAAAAAAACCAAAAGCCCAAGTTTTAGACTATCTCTTGTGGACTTCATCAAGCACCAAATAGCAGCCCATATCCTCTCCATATTTCATCGACCAGAAGCAGAGAGAGAGGAGTCGAGAGAGCCACGACCACAGCTGCACCATGTCCCGCACACGTCTGATTTCAGGGGCTGATTCCATGTTCTCACGAAATTGAAGCAGTTTCTTCTCATCTAGAGGGTATAAAAACCTGATTCTAACAGTCAATTAGGGAAAACTGGGGAATCGCATTTTTAATTTCAAGAGGAGAAGAAAGTGACTACTTGTAGAGAAGATTCATCAATTTCATCTTGTTTTAGGTAATTTTCATATTTTTGTTTTCAATTGTAAACTAGGTTTTGCCATAAGTGGCTAGCTTTTTTTCATTCCAACATTGATTTAATTAGGTTTTGATTTGTTATTGCTTGGAAATTTCATTGTAAGCATGTTTGAATAAGTTTATTTGCTTGATTTTTGAACTTAATATTAATCATATTTGGGTTTTCAATTAGTTTAGCTAACTGATTGGAATTCTCTTATGGAATGGTTATTCAAAATTCTTAGATACGTAATCGTCTTAGAATTTTGATAGAGTAACACTAGTATTCATTTGGTTTCGATAAGGTTCCCGGATTGAATATTTGAAATCTCGCGATTTAAGCCTCAATAAGCCGAGCCAATGAGCTTATGGTTTTGAATTGGTACTTTTTCTAGTCCGGTAAAGCTAATCGCACCTATGAGTTTAAGAGCTTATTTAAACTTGTATTTGTGGTTAAGAGTTTATTAGAGAGCTTATTTTAATCAACGATTATCTATGGAAAATTTGGGTCTTTAGAGCTTGTTAACGATTAAAACCAATTCGGGCATTTCCTTTTCGTTTACATTTTTGGAATCGATGATACTAACATCTTAACCGGTATTGAATCAATGTTGGGTCTTTAACCAATTGTTTTAATTTATATTTTATCGCAAGTTTAAAGTAATTAATCAAATCCAACACCCCCCTCGCAATTATTAATTTTTACGTTTTCATCGTGTACTTGATTCGCTAGTCGTACAACGTTAGACCGAGTCTTTGTGGATTCGACCCGACTTACACTACTAATATTTTGGTTGTAACTAGTCGTTAGTTGGAATTTACTATTTGGTGGACTCGGCATCCGTCAAATTTTTGACGCCGCTGCTGGGGACTCGGTATTACTAATGGTTTATGCCTAGATTTTCACGTACAGATTCACCTTTGCCAATAAATCTAGAAATCGAACGAACCGCGAAAGGACTGAGGAGACAAGTCAAGTTTCAGAAAAAGTTTGGCGAGGGACCTTCGTCACCAGGGTTAAATATCTGGCAAAATATTAACCTATCGAACGATTCGGACGAAGAGGAAGAAAAGTACGAAGAGGAAGACGAAAAGAAGGAAGACGTGATGGCTGCCGAACAAGACGAGCGAACTCTACGAGAGTTGGCGACACATGATGTTTCTCAGATTCCTATCTGTATCAGGTATCCGCAAGGTAACGCAAATTTTGTTTTAAAAACTTGTTTGGTCCATCTATTACCCTCCTACCACAGTTTGGAGAATGAGGACCCGGACAAACACCTCAAGGAATTCCATGTGGTGTGTTTAAGCATGAAACCCAACGAGGTTACGGAGGATCTTATAAAGTTAAAGGCATTCTATTTTTCTTTAAAAGATTGGGCTAAAAATTGGCTCTAGTCGTTACCGCCCGGTTCGGTAAAGACTTGGAACCAAATGGCGCGGTTATTTTTTGATAAATTCTTTCCCGCCTCCCGAGCGCTACACTCCGTAGGAAAATTTGCAGCATCAAACAAAGAGATGTGGAAACCCTCCATGAATATTGGGAGAGGTTCAAACATCTCTGCGTTAGTTGCCCGCAACACGAAATTTCCGAGCAACTTCTGTTGCAGTATTTTTATGAGGGCCTTCTTTCTATGGAAAGGAAGATGATCGATGCCACTAGTGGAGGGGCAATTTTTAATAAAACCCCAACTCAAGTGAGGACTCTGTTCACCACTATGGCTGAGAACTCTCAGCATTTTAGTGTGCGAGGTGATTTAAGGAGAGAGCCCCAAAAGATTAACGAGGTTAATACCGGTACCATTGAGAGTAGGCTATTTGATTTGACTAACCTCGTTAAACAATTAGTTGTGGGTAAAGAGCAGGTTAAGGCATGCGGTATATGTAATGAGGCGAACCATCCGACAAACGTGTATCCGCAACTCCAAGAGGATGTTTTGGTTGCATCCGAAGATGTCAACACCATTGGAGGCTTTCCAGGCCAACAACCATAGTAATGGTTTCATAACCAGAGCTTTGGTGCCCAAAGACCTCCGCAACAATTCCAACAACCATTCCAACAGAGAGCGTCGTTTCAGCCGAACAACCAAGCCTCGAGCAGTACAGGTATGTCTTTAGAAGATATTGTTAAATCTCTTGCTACTAACACTCAACAATTTCAGCAAGAGACGAGGACGAATATCCAGAATTTGGTAAACCAGAATCAAAGTTTAGCGGCCCAGCAGAAGAATTTGGAAGCTCAAATCGGGCAAACGGCGATTTTGCTTAATCGCATTGAGAGCCAAGGTAAGTTACCGTCCCAAACTGAAACTAACCCGAAAGCTAATGTTAGTGCCATTACTTTGAGAAATAGGACGGTTCCGGATCCCAAACCCAAAGCAAGAATGAGCGAGAGGAAAGAAGAGAAAGAGGCCGAGATTACGAGTGACGAGTCAAATGAAGATAAGGTTGAAGGTAAAAACATAGAAGACAAAGGAAAGGTGCCTGAATTGGTCATCCGACCACCATTCCCAAAGAGATTCGAGCAAACAAAGAAGCAAGAAGACAAAGAGATTATGGAGACTTTTCGCCGAGTTGAGGTAAACATTCCACTCTTAGATGCTATTAAAAGAGTACCTCGATATGCTAAGTTTTTGAAGGAGTTGTGTACGAAAAAGAAGAAGTTGATCGGGAATGAGAAGGTGAGCATGGGCGAGAACGTATCCGCCGTGCTTCAAGGAGAGAAGATGCCACCTAAGTGCAAAGACCTAGGTATGTTTACTATTCCTTGTAAGTTAGGTACTGTTTCAATAGATAAAGCCATGTTAGACTTAGGCGCATCTATAAATGTCATGCCTTACTCGATTTATTCATCACTGAATGTGGGACCTATTAAGAGGACGAGAGTTGTTATACAACTCGCCGATAGGTCCAATGTGTATCCCAAGGGAGTCCTTGAGGATGTGTTGGTTCAAGTTAACGAGTTGGTCTTCTCGACTGATTTCTATGTCATAGATATGGAGGAGCATAATACCTCCAAATCACCTTTGATATTGTTGGGAAGACCATTTTTGAAAACATCAAAAACAAAAATTGATGTTCATGATGGTACGTTAACTATGGAATTTGATGGTGAGGTCATTAAATTTAATATCTATGATGCCATTAGATATCCCAGTGATGCGTCTTTTGTCAGTTTTGTTGATGTTTTGGATCTTATTACTCATGATTTGAATGACTTGACTAACCGAGATTTGTTGGAGGTTGTGATTACAAGGCACCTAGATGCAAGGACAGTTAATTTGTTGATGAAGGAGTATGATTTAGGGCCCGAGCTTAAAGTAATGGTCTTAGCCATGGAATCTAATCGACACAAGAAGTTTCAGGTATCAAATGTTAATTTACCTTCTTCTTACACTAAGCTATTTCCTTCTATTTTGTAGGCCCTGGTACTTGAATTGAAGGAGTTACCGGACCACCTCAAGTATGCCTACCTAGGCAAGGACAATACTCTACCAGTGATCATCTCTAATGAGTTGTCAAGCGAAGAAGAAAAACGGTTGGTGAATGTGCTTGAAGAGCACAAGGAGGCGATCGGTTGGACTATAGCTGATATCAAGGGATTAAGCCCCTCAATTTGTATGCATAAGATTCTACTCGAGGATGACTACTAGCCTTTCCGTGAAGCTCAACGATGCCTCAACCCGCCTATGATGGAGGTAGTGAAAAGAAGATCCTCAAATTCCTTGGCGCATGTATTATCTATTCAATTTCATATAGCAAATGGGTAAGCCCTGTTCAGGTAGTACCCAAAAAGACGGGTTTGACGGTAGTTAGGAACACCGAAGGTGAGTCGGTGCCTACTCGAGTCCAAAATGGATGGTGAGTATGCATTGACTATAGGAGGTTGAACTCATCCACTAGAAAGGATCACCTTCAACTTCCCTTTATCGACCAAATGTTGGAACGATTAGCGGGAAAGTCTCACTACTGTTGTCTAGATGGATACTCCAGTTTCCATCAAATCCCGATAGCACCGGAGGACCAGGAAAAGACTACTTTTACATGCTCGTTTGGTGCGTTTGCATATAGGCGTATGCCTTTTGGCCTTTGTAACGCACCAACTACTTTTCAACATTGCATGGTAAGTATCTTTTTCGAGTATGTAGAGAGTATCATTGAGGTGTTTATGGATGATTTTACCGTTTATGGTAACTCGTTTTCAGGACTGTTTGAACAATTTGACCAAGATTTTAAAAAGATGCATATAGACTAACCTTGTTTTGAATTATGAAAAATGTCACTCTATGGTTAGTCATGGTCTTATCTTGGGTCATATTGTTTCAAAGAAGGGTATAAAGGTAGACAAATCCAAAATAGATGTCATTACAACTCTACCTTACCCTACTTGTGTTAGGGAAGTCCGTTCTTTACTTGGTCATGCAGGGTTCTATAGAAGATTCATTAAGAATTTTTTGAAGATAACCCGACCACTTTGCTGTCTCTTACAAAAGAACGTGGACTTCCACTTCAATGGTGAATGCAAGAAGGCATTCAATGAATTAAAAGATAAGTTAACTTCTGCACCCATAATTCAACCCCCAAATTGAGATCTCACTTTTGAGATCATGTGTGACGTGAGTAATTACGTGGTCGGGGCTGTTTTGGGACATAAATTTGGTAAGGACCCACACGTGATATACTATGCTTCTCGGACGTTGGATAGTGCCCAAAACAACTATTCAACAATCGAGAAGGAGCTTTTGGCCATAGTATTTGCTTTAGAGAAGTTTCGTCAGTATTTACTTGGTACTAAAGTGATAGTTTTTTCTGATCATGCACTCTTAAATATTTAATGAAGAAGGACGCCAAACCTCGCCTTATCCATTGGATGTTGCTTCTACAAGAGTTCAACCTAGAGATTCGGGATAAGAGCGGATAGGAGAACTTGGTGGCTGATCATTTGAGTCGTTTACTAAATGGTGAAGATCTTTCTACCTTGAAGGATGAATTTTCGGACGAGCATCTTTTGACTGTTCAAGAGACGACACCCTGGTACGCCAACTTAGTGAACTATCTAGTTATCAACACTTTGTCAGGTACGTTGCCTAGAACTGATAAGGATAGGATTAAGAGTGAAGCGAAGTATTATGTTTGGGATGACCCCTACCTTTGGAAGCATTGCTCTGATCAGATTATCAGGCGATGTGTCCCCCAACACAAAGTACAAAGTGTACTTCGGTTTTGTCACGAATATACTTGTGGGGGACATTTTGGTCCAAAACGTACGACACACAAAGTGCTTAATTGTGGATTGTTTTGGCCATCCATTTTTAAAGACGCTTATATGTTTTGCAAGAGTTGTGATAGGTGCCAAAAGACGGGGAATATCGGACCACAAAATCAAATGCCCCAAAACTCGATTTTGGTATGTGAAATATTTGATGTATGGGGCATTGATTTCATGGGACCCTTTCTCGCGTCTTCTGGATTTACCTATATTTTATTGTGTGTCGATTATGTCTCGAAATGGGTGGAAGCTAAAGCCACCAGAACTGACGATGCTTGTACTTTTTTGGCTTTCCTTAGATCTAACATCTTCGCCAGGTTCGACACACCAAGGGCCGTCATAAGCGATCGAGGGACGTACTTTTGCAATAAATAAATCGAGGCGATGTTTAAGAAGTACCATGTCACTCACTGGATTTCAACTGTATACCATCCTCAATCCAACGAGCAAGCCGAGGTCTCTAACAGGGAGATCAAATCCATTCTAGAGAAGACTGTAAATCCTAATCGCAAGGATTGGACCGAACGTTTGGACGATGCTTTGTGGGCCTACCGTACGACCTACAAAACACCTATAGGTATGTCCCCTTTTCGATCAGTTTATGGCAAACCATGTCATCTACCTGTTGAACTAGAGCACGGGGGCTTTTGGGCTGTCAAGAAGTGTAACATGCGGATGGATGGCACAGAAGTTCTGAGGAAACTACAACTTCAAGAGTTAGAGGAAATCAGAACGACGCATACGAGAGCTCCAAGATCTACAAGGAGCGGACCAAGGATTTCCATGACAAGCTCATCTCCCGTAAAGAGTTTGTGGTCGGACAAAAAGTTTTACTCTTTCATTCACGCCTAAAGCTGTTTCCCGGTAAGCTTAGATCACAGTGGATTGGTCCTTTCATAGTTGTTAAGGTTTATGCTCATGGAGCAGTCGATATTGAAATCCCGAAAACGGGTAAGTCGTTTAAGGTGAACGGGCATAGACTTAAACCTTTTTATGAAGGTTTTCAGTCTACGAACATTGATGTTATGGCTCTTGAGCCACCGCCCGTTGTTAGTTAGTTTAGGTAGTGTCTAGCCAAAGACGTTATGGAAAGGCGCTGATTGGGAGGCAACCCAATTTTTATTGCTTTATTTTCGTTCTAGTTTAGTTTCTTTTAGTTTTAGTTGTCTTTCGAGATTGATGAGTTGCTTTCCCAGATTGGCATTCTTGTGAGTATTGACGTTCCAACCCCCCCCCCCGGGGGGGTGCAAAGAGGCTTTTACCACCCGCTTGGACCGTGTATTGGGCACAAGTCTACATATCCAGGGGAGTTTTCTCGTTCCCTTTGCTTTTTAATGTTTTAGACTACGCCGGCCCAGTAGTTCCGCAACTACTACCGTGGTTGTTGCCAATGGGGATCCCCCATTCTCCTGTTCATCAACTCTAACCGCATTCTTCTGCAGTTGATGTTTGCATACATTGAGAACAATATATGGTTCAAGTGTGGGGAGGGAATTAGTGTGGGGATGTACGAGAGTGTGTTAGAAAGGGCTAAAATTTTCGAACTTTTGGCTTGATTTTGGGCATTTGTTAAGTGAATTGCATGAGTGACGATTTTCTTGATTTTCAATTCCATAAACACCATAGCATGAACGATTGTATGACTTACTTGTTAGTCGTGATTAGCACATTTGAGATAACTTTTGTGAAGCTTGCTAATTTTATAGACAAAATGCACCCGTGAGCTTTTGAGCCATGGTCGAACACTATTTTCGATCCCATTTCATTTCTATGTGCATTGCATCTTCCATGTTCATCTCACTCTAGAACTTGCATTAGGTCTCTTCAATATTGCATCTAGGCAATACTAGTGTGTGGAAATGACAAAGGCCATATTTGATGTTTTTCTTTTAACCATTTAACCTAAAAGCCAACCTTTATGCATTTTTCCTTTTTGATCATCTTTTTGAGCCTAACCACCTATTTTCTTGACTTTAACACCACATGTTAACCCTTAAGCCAAACACTTCCCTCACCAGACTTTGGAATGAGACTACATACTCTTAGTTAGAAGTGTTTGTTGTATGATCTTTATACCATCTACACGATCCTCAACACCTATATAATGATCGGTAGAGGTTCGAGAAAAAGAAAATACATATATATATATATATATATATATATATATATATATTCCATATGTGGAAATGAAAAGAAAAAAATGAATAAATGGAGACCGAACAATGGAAGAAACACAATTGTCTCCATAGTGTTTTTAACGAATAAGAGCTAAGAGATTGAGAAATTTTGTGATCGCTTTGACAAGACACGAGAGTCATGTTTGAGTTGTAGTTTCTTTTCCAATGTCCACTTTTAGTCACTTCACCAAACTATTCCCTACCTTGACCCTTAGCCACGTTACAACCCCTACTAAAGACCTTTTTGATCCACACCTAGGTTGACCATTAGCGATGGAGAATCGAGACCTAATTCAAGACTATGGTAGTGTATGTGCATGTGAATTGATGGTTTGAGTGAAAACACCTACACCATTGTGTGAATGAGCGATTGTATTGCATATGTCCTTTGTAAGGTGTTTGTGAAATTAACATGTTCTCATCTTTGGTTTGTCTCGTGTGTTAATTTTCGCTAATACGGTTTAGTCGAACCTTCGTGAAATGTTATGTATTTTTGTCCGTTCTCTAAAAATCAACTCATGATAAATTCGTAGTGTTTGCTTGAGAACGGTCAAAGTTCCAAGTGTGGGGATGTTTTGATAGCTATATGTTCTTGGTTAAAAATTAAAGTTAAGAAGCCCTTTATCTTCATCATTTTGTGAATAAATATGTTTTCTTAACCTATTTATTATTTTGTAGAGTCCAGCCCAAAAAAAACAAAAGCCCAAGTTTTGGCATATCTTTTGTGGACTTCATCAAGCACCAAATAGCAGCCCATATCCTCTCCATATTTCATCGACCAGAAGCCAAGAGAGAGGAGTCAGGAGAGCCATGACCACAGCCACGCCATGTCCCGCGCACGTCTGATTTCAGGGGCTGATTCCACATTCTCACGAAATTGAAGCGGTTTCTTCTCATCTAGGGGTATAAAAACTCGATTCTGACAATCAATTGGGGGTATTACTGGGGAATCGCATTTTTAATTTCAAGAGGAGAAGAAAGTGACGACTTGTAGAGGAGATTCATCAATTTCATATTTGTTTTAAGTAATTTTCATATTTTTGTTTTCAATTGTAAACTAGGTTTTGCCATGAGTGGCTAGCTTTTTTGCATTTCAACATTGATTTAATTAAGTTTTGATTTGTTATTGCTTTGAGATTTCATTGTAAACATGTTTGAACAAGCTTATTTGCTTGATTTCTGAACTTAATGTTAATCATATTTGGGTTTTCAATTAGTTTAAATAACTGATTGAAATTCTCTTATGGAATGGTTATTTAAAATTCTTAGATACGTAATCGTCTTAGAATTTTGATAGAGTAACACTAGTATAACACTAGTATTCATTTGGTTTCGATAAGGTTCCCGGATTGAATATTTGAAATCTCGCGATTTAAGCCTCAATAAGCCGAACCAATGAGCTTATGGCTTTGAATTAGTACTTTTTCTAGTCCGGTAAAGCTAATCGCACCTATGAGTTTAAGAGCTTATTTAAACTTGTATTTGTGGTTAAGAGTTTATTAGAGAGCTTATTTTAATCAACGATTATCTATGAAAAATTTGGGTCGTTAGAGCTTGTTAACGATTAAAACCAATTAGGGCTTGTCCTTTCCGTTTACATTTTTGGAATCGAGATACTAACATCTTAACCGGTATTGAATCAATATTGGGTCTTTAACCAATTGTTTTAATTTATATTTTATCACATGTTTAAAGTAATTAATCAAATCCAACACCCCCCCCCCCCCCCCCCCCCCCGCGCAATTATTAATTTTTACGTTTTCATCGTATACTTGATTCGCTAGTCGTACAACGTTAGACCAAGTCTCTGTGGATTCGACCCGACTTACACTACTAAAATTTTGGTTGTAACTAGTCGTTAGTTGGACTTTACTATTTGGTGGACTCGGCATCCGTCAGTTTCAAATCAGATATTATTTTCTTCATTTCTCACCAAAACCTCTCTTCATACATACAAGAAAACCATTACACATTGAAGAATCAAACCCCAAAAGAATTGGTTAACTCAGTTTATTCTTCTCCAATATCCACTTTCTTACTTTCTTTATACATTCCTCATCATATCTATTATACAACTGCTTCAACTTCATATTTCCCTTCAGTATAACAGAATCAACATGTTCTTCATATCTCTCATACAACGCCGGAACCGTAAGAACCAAGAAAACGCCTGTTGGAATATGAAACCACCAAGGTTAACTCATGCTCGGATCACATACAAACACAAGATACAACTATAGGTGTTCATGCCAGCTTGCGCACACCTCAACTAATCCCACATGGCCTAAACTTAATGAACTGGCAAACCTCCAGGCTGCTGCAGGGCCAGAGGACTTGAATCGGTGACCTATTGGGAGCTAATACAAGGCCTTATCATCTACGGATACAAGATTTCTTTCATAACCGTGGGTGTTCAAGCTGGTTTGCACGCACCTCATGGACCCTAAGGTGAATGACCGGCAAACCTCCAGGCTCCAAGCCAAGGGACTCGAACTAGTGACCTACCCAGGGCCTTACCAGTTGCCAGTTGAACTATCACCTACAGATACGATATTTCTGTTTCATAACCTTGGGTGTTAGGGCCAACTTGCACTCACCTGGATTTATCCCACAGACCCTGACGTAAAAAATTGGACAAGACTCCAAGGGCTCCAGGGCCAATGGGCTCGAACTGGTGATTTATGGGGAGCAAACCTAAGGTCTTACCAGTTAAGCTGCCTAAGGGTTTGCAGATACAAAATTGATAGAACAACTTACTTGTGTAGCACAACGTACGCAAATCAGTTAGGCTTCCAATAACAGATATCAGAACCAAATACACAGCTACTTTCACAAACATTTTTGGGTCTTTACCAAGCGCAATATCGTGGGATATGGTTAGTAGCCTGTTTATTCGATCACGAAACAGAGCTGCAGCTTCGTTTATGGTTTCTTCTGAGAGCTGAAAATGTGGGATTGGTGGCGTAGGCCTGTTGTTTACACAGATTATAACACAAGATACCATTTTATCAGAGATCATGTCCAGAAAGGTAATACTGAATTTCATTTCATATCCACTGATTACCAACTTGCTGATTTGTTTACAGTTCTTTAGAAATTGATACGAATTTTGTATAAATTTTATCCCTTTTAGCATTCGTCATGGAGTTTTAATGGGGGTCTGTAATTATCTTGAAAAATGGAAGAATCATCACTTTCTATAGTTGAAAGTCAAACTGTATGATCTTGAAGATAGGAGGATACAATATAGATTTACCTGTTGAGAATTTGTGCCGATTTAGCCCAAAGGAAAAGGATGATAAGCAGAAGTAAGAGAACATTGGATACGTATGATAGCAACGTGTAATTGGATCTCTCAAACATCACCCAGGAAACCAAAGTTATCATCAGTATCCCCATTGTCACATTTTTATGCCTCCATAGAATCAAATCTGCAACTGATCAAAATGCATATAAGACTTCAAATAGTTCAAAAACAGTTTAGTCAATCGTATTTTGATTGGACGTTTAACAATTTGCGTCAATTTTGAACTTGAATTACGCGATTTTGGAACCAAAAACATACCCAAGATTCTTCAAGATCAAAATGGGGATCAGAGACAAGAAAAGAGGACCATTTCTTGAATTATGATCAAGATGAGATCTTGATCCATGATAACGAAAACCCAAGAAGAAATTCGAATAAGTTTTGTAGATAGGAAACAATTGAGATCATAAGCTAAGCTTATTTTTGCCAAACAATGCCTAAAGTCTCTTCTGTGTTTAAATGGAAACAGGATGTTCTACCATTAGCTAAGAAAGCATAGACAGATGTTTTGACTTTTGAAGTCAATCCAATCACTTACCAAGTACAAATTTGATATACATTTTTCTATATATGATCAGAATCAATCTGGTTATTAAATTTTCAATTCTTGAAGAGTTCATGTGCAAATTGAAGATGGAAGCAAATTGTACACATTGGTTGGAATCAAGAACATTCTTCAAGATCAAAGTGGGATCTTGATTTTGACCCTGAATAACAAAAACCCATGAATCTAAATCTGAAATTGAATAAGAATTCAAAGGAAAACAAGAGTTTGTGAGATTAATCAGAAAGACTTACGCCGTCCCCCTCCAAGAATCTGATGAACACTTGTCTGCCTGTTGAACAACAATCGATCTGATGAACTCATGAAGGAGGATTCTGCAGAAAAATCCAAGATCTCAAATTGAATCCTGAAAGAGTCTGATATGAATCACAGAAAGCAAAAAAGAAAGGAACAGTTGATCTGTAAAGCAGTGGGTTTCACCTTTCTGATGGTATTGTATTGCAATTAGGGTATTGATGGTTGAAATCTGTGGGGTTTTGGAAATAGATTCCAGCCTAAAAGATTAAAGCAAAAAATGGGTCTTCTGGTTTGGCTTTTCTTTAATTGGAAATGATGAGAGAGATGAAAGACATTCTTCCCATGATTCTCTCTCTACATTACCAACTCTTTTTATACCGCTCTTCATCAAAAATACACACTATTACAGAAAGAAAAATTGGAACTTTTTGACTGGGTAATATCTTTCTTTATGGTAAAAGAATATAACATTTACTAAAACTATAAAATTACACCGTGTATAAATACAATTTATTAAATTTTATATTTGAATTTGTGTAACTAACTGTAGATAAATATAATCAAGCATACGATAAAATTCTCATTTTGAATATATCTAAAATATAATAAGGATAATTATTGACTTCTAATAAAATACTTAGTTATTATCTTTATGAAAATTATATTATTAAACCAAAAACAAATTACTTCATCATTAAACTTAAATTAAATTATAATTTGAATTAAAGAAATTAGAAAAAAAAGAGAACTTTTGTATATTTTTTAATTTTTATGATATTTTCAAATTTATATTTAGAAAAAACATTATTGTTTGCTCGTTCAAACCACATAAATTTATATTATAATATCGACAGAGACCAAAAAATAAAATGAAACATTAAAATCGAGATATATCTCGTTGTATTGTGCGAGTACCCTTTTAGTTATATTATAAAACATTGGACAAAAACTCTTAAAAACAATTTTTATACATGAAGTACTGTTTATTGATACATATTACTTAAAGTTCAATATTACAAATAAATTGTGCGTAAGTACAACTTATTAAAGTTTTATTTTTTAATTTGTGTAACTAACTGCAGATAAACATAATCAAATACATAATAAACATCTCATTTTAAATATAAAAAATTAAAATATAATTAGGATAATCATTGATTTTTAACAGAATATTTAATTATCATCTTTACAAAAAATTATATTATTAAAAACAAATAAATTACTTTGTTATTAAATTACAATAAAAAATTGAATTAAAGAAATTAACAGAAAACGAGAACTTTTAAATAGTTAATTTAATACTAATATTGATACAGTTTTTTTTTTCAAATTTATATTTCGTTCAAAAAAAAATATTACCATTTTTTAAAACCACGTAAAACCGTATTATATTGACAAAGAAAATGAATTGAATAAAACATTAAAATCCAGATATATCTCGTTGTATTGCGCGAATACCCTTCTAGTATTCTTTAATATCCTCATTTGAAAATCTTTATTGAAAAAACAACATAAAACAAAAACCATAATTTATTTTTGGGTATATGTCTAGATGAATATAATTTAACTTATTGAAATGTTGGTTGGAGTGGTTTATGAGGAGTTCTTTTTGTCACTTTTTTCAATTATAACCCTCATAAATATTAAGTATTATTTAAGACGGTAATCAAATGAGAACTATAAAAAGATTGAGGACCGTGAGAACTCATCTCAATTATCCAAGGGTTTTAATCAAAGGCGATTAAGAATGGTGACATATTTTGTAATATTAATGGAAGTTGTGTCTAATCTCACATCTACACTGAATTCTCTTCTTCTACACTCGGTCCTAATGGGTTTATGGGAAGTTGTTCTCAATCAGCTCTGAAGGTAATCGATCCCATCTTTCTTATTTATACCCTAAATTCGAGTTGTGCCTGTCAAAAAGGTTGATTTCTTATGAATCATGGATTCACCATATCAGTTGAGAAATCGTTGTCGTTGACGACGGAGTGAATTTCAGCAACTGTTTGAACGAAGCCATGGTTTGACCACCACAATCGCTTCAAAAACCTTAAGATCACCGCTCGTGTTTGAAAAAACTTCGATCTTCAAAAGTATTTCATCCCTTACGATTTTCCGCCCCCACCACTTGATAAACGTCAGATCTCCGTCTTTTTTTACTGTGTCGTTCCGGTGTAGACGGTTGTACTCCTGCACTGAGTAGCAGCTGAGGTCTTGAACCTCTTTATTGATCTTGATGTCGGTTATCTTAGTCCTTCCTCCTAGGATCCCAAAAAAACTCTGCCGACCGATATGGGTATGATGCCAAGATCCTTCTTTCTGGTGGCTGGGGAGTCCCTGTCCATTGGTGATTATGAAATCGGATATGAATCGGTGATTATAGACACAAATTATATTTGATTTCATTAGGTGAAAATAGATGATATTTGTGTTTGATTTCATGTTGTGGTGAATTAACACATACATGAATATCATTGTTTAGATTTCGTTAGGTGAAATACCATATTTATGAAATTTGTGGTTTATTTCATTAGGTGAAATAAGGTAAATATATATATGTTTTATCTACTAAATCTGTGTGTTTCATCTGGTGAATAAATCTGTGTGTTTCATTTGATGAATCTTGTTACCAAAATGATGATTATGTCATTTTTTAATTAAAAACATCTTTCAATTAAAACCATATGATCAAAACCAAATAAAGGCTTAAATCAGCTCTCACGGTTTTCAATTTTTTTATGGTCTTCGTGTGTTTTGACCCTTTATTATTTATTACTATTAATTATAAATAAATATTAATTATTATTAAGTGGAAAAAAATTACTACTAATAGTAATTATTAATAAACTAAAATTATTATTTAATTTTAATTGTATAGTAATATTAACTATTTA